TTAAACATGCTTGCAATCGAAGCACGATAAAAAGCGGTGATGTCTTGAGTTAATTGAGGGACACCTCAAAGGGTGAATAACGCATGGCCGCTTTCGATGCTGAAGTGATCGGAAAACAAACTCCATCATTTAGTTATCATTAGCATTAGCATTTTGCTAAAGACTGCTCAAAATCACTAACCCAACATTTCAATAACCGCATAATTGTTAAAAAACATGTTAGCATACTTCAACGGTGCTGATTTTCTCCTTTGACCCCCTCACACTGGTATTATCGTGCAGACCTTAACATGATAGGAAACCGTAACTGCGTGGAAAATAGTATAAATGACGTGAAACCCATCGTTTGACGTTGGGTCTATCAAAATAGCTCAAAAACATCACCCCGGAAGCGTTTTTTTTCATTATGGTGTAAAAGTTGGTCTGGAACGTTTGTGAATTAAGCCAATAGTACCAAATGATTAAGACCGCAAAGCTCGAATGACAAAAAGGTGCATGGTGAGGCAAAAACTACTCCTGGGTAAACAGCTACGGCTATTTTAGTAGCTATGACGACAAACAATGGGTTTCGCCGCTGCCTATTCCTCATTCATGCATTTGAGATTTGTTGCCAGATTATATTCCTTTGTAGGAGTTTAGCATGAAAAGAGCTTATAGGTAACGTACGAAGTAATTTAAGCTTTTGAAGAAACTCACCATCGTTGTCAGTGGCAGGCATCCCATCAGTGCACAATGACCGCAATAAACTCTGGGACTGTGGTTCCTGATGGCTGACTGTGTTGCGTTTCTCCCCTCCCTAACCGTCGTCAAGCTCTCCGTCTGCTTCTTGCGCGGCATCCTTTTCAACTTAAGGGGCGTTCTTTAATGCGGGTGCACCTTTGTGGGTACACCCCTGTAAGTGAGCCTCTTTAATACGGGTACCCCTGTAAACTCAAGAACCCCTTCTCCGATGTGTCAGGTGGGAGCATGGCAACAGAGCAAGGGTAGAGACCTGAACTCCCCGGCCCCTAAGGGTTCTACGCCCCTGCGAATGAGCTCAACTCGCGAGCAAATTTCGCACTTCCGTGCAGCGTTGCAACTGTGACAGGTCCCCGGATAAGGCGTCGCACGCGAGAGAACGCGGCAACAGGGCGACGCTGTCGGCTATTGTTTGGCAACAGAATGGCGTCACTATAGAAAGCAACAGTGTGCGCGGTTCGTCTGCGTATCCGAGGTGACGGGTCGGCAATCTGCAGCGTGCGTGACGACGCGAGCAAGGTGCGCCGCCACGGGCCGTGCCGCTCGCCCTCTCTGGGTGACGGCGGACGAAAGTGACGCGTCACGAACCGATCACGCTGGCCGGACTCAAGGTGCAGGGAGTCGTAGGTATGAAATGAGCATTTTCCGCCGCCCGTGATTGGCGGTGGATTCGTTTGCGAAGTGTTGCGCATCGGCATCAGGAAGGGCCACGCGGCGTGCTCATTGCACTGCTGGGGTAATGCCACATCATTAAACCTGACGCTTTGCAATTGATGCTGAAGCCAGCCAGCTGTAGGCGACCACTGCAAGACATTTACGGATATATCATGCAGCTCCAAACGCACGATGACGTCAAAACTTAATTTATTCAAGCCATTTGTCCAATTTCATTGTGTACTAGATGTAAGCAAGAAAGGCCTCGAGCTCCCGGTTTTTCCGTATTATTAGTTCAGAGTTCTTATGTTAATCATCGACGTTCAATACTTACCAGGAGGTGCTAGTTGAACGAATTATGGAGGAAACATTGGCTATGTTGACAGCTCTCGACGTTTCAAGTAGGGGCTTATGATCACGACCGATCAATAAACAATGTTTGCCCTTAAAGACTGTTCAACCAGTGTCTTTTGGGATATTGATGGTCGAGAGCTCAGGATAAGGACACTTACTCGTACTGATAAACTTAATCTATTCAAAAAGTCAAATTACATGAGAAACTGTATAATGACCTCTAACGCTCAAAATGCTTTTATATCACGATTCAACAAACCTGTTAATATATTGTGTTGGAGCAAGGTTTGCAGCAATGTTTCTGAACGGCATGTTCAGCGATTAATGTTGGTCCCTCGCGTTAAAAGTAGCACGCCGACATATCATGCAGAAGACAACTTATTCCCTTGGACATAAAGGGTTTGGAAGCCCCTACGGCGAGAGGAAAATGCAATCTTCCTACTTGTCATGGACCACGAAGCGCAAACTGACAGCTTACCACAACACCTTACATAACGGTCTCGCAACGTTAATCCCCGGCAATTTCAACCTTTTCAACTCGCAACGCTGCTGCACTTACGGTTCATGTTACCAACTGAGCAGAGGCAGTTAAAAAACGCTCACCGAATTAGAAAAATGATAGCATGCATGTTCGCCTCGATTGTAAAAATATTTAGCTCAACACGAGAGCCGAGTTGGTGAGAACAATTACGGTACACAGCAGGTAAAAATCGCAAATGTCGCTCTCATAATGAAGCTGAACCTGCTGCCAGCGCGACGAACGCGAGTAAGCCAGTGTAGTGTCCCGAGGCACAGCCATCGCTAACTAGCTGTGGTCTACGTGTGCAAACTACCAAAAGTCATTTTTGCTATCATTTAATTGTTTGGCATGATGGCAGCCAACTGTCCATGAACAATTAAACAAAAGGTCTGCAATCATACCATAAATCACATTAAATTTCACACACAAAATAATGTTTGCATCACTTAAAGCATAAGCTGCGTCAACGCTATTTGATTTGAGGTTTTAAGTACAATTATGACATGTTTGGTGTGCTATGCGGATACTTGTTACATTAAAATGTATGATTCTATGCTAAATTCTATCATCTATGAGCTGTTATTTAAGCCGGCGAGGACTGACTATCTACCTGGAGAGCTTTTTGATAACCCTTTCATGCTAATATTTTTGCACAGAGAATCAAGTTGCTACCAAATCTAAAGTGCACGGAATATGGGATAAACACAGAGTAATTATCGTAGAGATAAACGTAGGATTAATTAGACTGCGCGCCCTAACACCCAAAACATGAAGTGGCATAAACAGAAAGAAAATCCAACGCTTACCACCGAGTCGGGTCGGAAGACGACCAAATATTGTGATAAGCTGAAGTCGAATTGGCTTATTTTGAAAACATGTGCAAGCCAGTGAAGGACGACGACATGCACGACATTCGCCGGCATCGGTGATGAACTGAGCTGATATGTAAATATGAACTGAAATGAGCTAGACTTTAACTGTAAACTGAAATGAACTGAAATGCAAAGGTGACCTGAAATGTAAATGTGAGCTTGAATGAACTAAAATGCGAACGTGAGCTGAAATGAACTAAAATATAAATGTGAGCTTAAGAGAACTAAAAAGTAAATATGAACTGAAATGAACTGAAGCGTAAATGTAATCAACAACGATGGCCTAGGTGTTGACATTAGTCCTTTGACAGTTCTTTTTGGTGTATGAATTGGAATAGAGATAAAATGCTTTCTCATTCGCAAATGCAGCCTTACACTTATGTCTATACAGCTCGTATGGCGGATTTTTAGAGCTAACCCAAAACCTGTAAATCGGAATGGGAATATGAAAATTCTGAATTTTTGAAATTCTTGAACAGCGGAATCACGCACTGGTCTATAAACAATTTGACTACTTTTAGCTGACTAGTCAGCTCACTGATATTGCATCGCGTAAATTTAGCAGCATCATAACCCATTACAAAAACCGACGAAAAGTTTGGTTCGGATTGGTTGAGGCAAATTCACAATTCTCACATTTCAACCAATGCATAAATCATAAGCCAATGCAGTAACATATGATTATGACTCTACAAATCTTCTTTGAACAGATGGCGAACTACATACGTCTTGAAATGCGACGCGTGTTTATACCTTTGTTTTACGGTAGGCAGGTAATTAATCAATTTCTCAGCCTTTTTGCTGCTCTACGACTACAGGTTGTCACATTGCGTCTAGCCAGCGAAGTCACTTCACTCCTACATTGCGTCACATAAACTTGTTCTTGTTTGTAATGTATATCTTACTTTTTATTTGCTCTAGACCTTCTTAAATAATGCTGGCAAATCAGTCGGTTGTCCTGTGTGAGTTATGAACTTGTTAAGAAGTAAATAGGGATTAATTGGTTTGATAAGAGCCGAAATATTCTGGAATGTATTGCTATCTTTGAAACTATATAGATATATTTTTTGTCTGAAATGACACGTGTACAAAAACTGACCAGTTTTTATGCTTCGTAAAGTTATTGCTGCCGCATGATGATTATTTTCGATATATTTACATGATTATCAGAATGCCAACTTATATAAGGGCTCACTGCTATAACATCATTTCACGGAAGTCTACAAACGATGCCTAATTATTGAAATCAAAACGCATGAGCATACACAGTTGTCTATTTATGCATTCCAACATCCACTGATTCTGAATTGGGCTCCGAACATCCTTCCTTCCCGTGAAGGGCTTGCAGACCCCTCGTCCTGTTTGTGGACTTTTATCTTTTATCACCACGCCAGGAGCCTCCTGGAGCCGAGTTTGCCGGGCTGCTCGTTGTCTCTGGAGCTGCTGCGGTGCTCTGATGCACCGCCAGGACAGGCACCGCCTGCTGCCGACTGTACCCCCGCCACCGTCCCCGGGCCACCGGCCCTCCGACCACAGAGATGGACCCTCCGTCCCCCGGCCCGTCCAGTCCGTCACCCTGCTACATCCGGCCGGCCGCGGCCCGACCCCACGCCGGCCCGTCCTCAGGTCATGCCCGCCGGCTGTGTCCCTCCCCTCCCTACTGGCCCCCGTCGGCGCGTCGGCGCGTCGCCGTCGACGCGAGCAGCGCGGCTCCAGGAAGCCCAGATTGTAGGTTATCGGTGCGGCCATGGGTTCCGCTTGCTGCTGGCCGACGGTTCAGCGATGGCCGGGGGCGGCGGTGCGCCGACCGCAGGCCCCGGAATAAGGCCAGACGCGGCCGGTATAAAGCGGCGCGTCGGCCGGAGAGCGGCACAGTGGCGGACGGACGCTCCAGCAGTTGACTCGCAGTAGGCTAGTACACCAAGGTACGTGGCCGACGCTGTGCGGTGCAGGCGAAGACGGAGCGCGGAGGCGGCCAGCGGCGCCGAGGCCACAGTGACACGCGGCTCCCGGCCGGCAGGAGCGCAGAGTGCGGCAGCGGCGAGTGGATGCGGTCAGAGCGCCGAGCAGCGGCTAACGTAGTGCAGTCCCAGCGAGGGCGTGCTTGATCGGCCCGTCTCCAACAACGTAGCCTGTGTCGCCTGGACGATCTTGTGCAGTGCCAGCCATACTAAATTTCAGTCACTGTGTGCAGTACTTCATTGATCATGAAATATTTTGCTTTTGCCGATTGAATTAACTTGCTGAGCGAGTTTTTCTGCTTAGTCCTTTTCCTTTCAACTAGCAGCGTCTAGACCTACCAGTTTTTCATTGCCAACGTAACGTAAGCCAACAGAGACTGGTCTTATAACTCCATTGATAACATGGTGGACCGGATCTCTGGCCACCTCACGGGCGGTCGAGTCCGGTTTTTCTGTGTGCCGCTCTGACCGTGCCCGGCCGGTTGGTGCGTGACCGCGCGCTTGCGTCGGCTGGGAGTCGCGTGCGTCGCAGTGCAGTGTGTCTGCCTCCGTCGGCGCCTGTGCGTCAAGCTCGCCGCGCTCGTTGCCGTCGTCTCCGACGTGCAGCAGCGCCGGCGCGACCCTCCGTCGAGCCGGTGCTTCACCCCTCGCCGCAGTCTCCGAGCTGTCATGCTGGTCCAGCGCTGCAGTCTCTGGAGATGCTCTGCTGGTCCGGCGCTGTAGTCTCCGGGGATGTTCTGCTGGTCCCACGCCGCAGTCTGCGGCGCGGGTCTAACATTGCAGTCCTCGAGACGGCTGCCGGTGTGGCGAGACCATCTCACAGACGGCTGCCAGTCCCTCCGGTTCACTGCCCACCGCTTTGTTCTGCCATGCCAGTCTGGCAATGCAACGCAATTGCCTTTTTATGAACGGTCATGTTACAGTCGTGGTTTAGGCCTTTCAGTTCAATGCCGTTCACTCGCTGCCAAGCGTGACTGAGACTGGTTTCGTTTCGAGCTGTTCCGACATGATCCTCATTTCTAGAGTTGGTGTCCAAAATTGTTTTGTATTCTACCCTTTAATGGTGCATTTATCATTTCGCTCGAAGTCACATCCAAAATATAATGAGAGATATAAAACTCCAAAGCGGTACATAATATCGTCCATTTCCACGCTCAGTGCTTCATAATCGATAGAAAGCTATCACGACGCATTGCAAAAGGCTCATGCTCGCGTTCACATGGCATCAGTCTCGCGCCGTTCCCCCACTCGTGTCGTGTTTGCTTTCACACCAACCAGACCGTGTCGGCGAGCTTTCGCGCGCATGTGCGCGCGGCGGCGCGCCACGTGTGCAATATTGCGCGCGGTGTGCGGCACCGACGGCCGGTCGGTGACCCGGCGCCGCCGGCTGTGGGCCAGCGTACCGTTACGGCCGGGCCGATGGCGCGCGTCGCGACCGCCGCCGGCCGGCTAACGGCCCGGCCAGCCGGCGGCCTGCCGCTCCCATCTGCCGCTCGGTCGGCCGCGCTGTACAGTCCAGCCCGCGCACGCGCGCCCCATGCGACGCTTCCGCTGCCCCCGCCGCCGACGACGCCCGACAGATTCATAAATGTTGTTCGCTTTGCAGGAAACCAGAATGAACCGTACCCTTTACGCGTTGGGAGTGTTGCTCTTTGCCGCCACCACATACGCCAATGAGCTTGGCAATGTTTACGACGAGGGAGACATTGATCCTCGCTTCTTCTTCCTCAACAACAACTCGACCTCGCTGTCCGTGTCCTTCGCCTCCCTGATCTACGGCCTGTTCGCCCTGCTGGCCCTTGGCCTGCTGGCTGCTCTCCTGGCCTACTTCCTGTTCGGCTCGGGCGGCGAGACCACCGGCTACGCAGACACCTCCTACAGCTCATACGGCTCCGGCAGAGCTGCCGCGTATGTATATATGCACTATATACCAACAACATGGCATGCACAGGTGGTGGGTGTATACCGAAACATGGCATGCGGGGTATACAGTATACGAACAGGTGAGACGGTGGCGGCAACATGACCATGCACGATTCTCACAACGGTTACTCGAACATGCAGCGACATTGTCATGCGCCACACGGCGCCGCCGGTCGCCAGACAACACTACAACGGCTCAAAAAGCAACTCTCGCGACGCGGAGAGGTCTCGTGGCGCGGAACGCTCCCTGCTCCCCGACAGCCATGTATATAAGCTGCCCCTGGTTGCAGGTCACAATGTTGTACCACCTGCTTCTCGCCGCCCTGTGCTCGTCCGCGCTGGCCCAGCAAACCGCTGTGGCCGCGGACGAAGACTCAGTTGTCGACCCGCGCTTTTTCCTCTTCAACACGTCAAACTTGAGTGTCAGTTTGAACTCGGTATACGCCGGCCTCCTGGCGATCCTGGGCGGGCTGGCCCTGCTGGCCGGCCTCGCCTACCTGCTATTCGTGCTCTCGGGCGACTCGGGCTCCGGGTACAGCGGATACGCTGACACGGGCTACACCAGCTACGCCAGCGGGCGAGCTGCCGACGCGTACGTACTGGCCTCACCTCGTGCCGCATGTTACCGTTGTTGCAGATAACAGCATGTTGGGTCATGTGTTGCTGTTTGCACTTGTGGCCTGCGCGGCCGCGATCGAGGACACTGCGGACCACAAGGAGGGCGGCATGGACCCACGGTTTTTCTTCTTTGGAAACACCACTGGGTTGACCGTCAGTCTGAACTCGATATTGGCGAGCGCGGTGGCCGGTCTGGCCGCCCTGCTCCTACTGGCCGGCCTGGCCTACCTCCTCTATCTGTTGAGCGCCGGTGGAGAGGAGACTGGCTACTCGAGCTACAGTGGTCATGGCTCCGGTGGTAGCGGCTACTCGGCTCGCTCCGCGTACGTACCCAGTGTCCTCCGGGGGCGTGCATGCCACGAGTGCACTCAGGCGGGCCGAAGCCCTAGAGTAGGCGTGAGGGCGCGACTGCCGTAGGGGTAAGGTAAGTGATGATGCCACCGCCCGCCTGACCGGTCCTCCGGCGTCCTCCGGCGTCCTCCGGCAGTCCTCGCCGCCATCCGTGCACCTGTTGGCGCGCCTGCGCCTCACTAACCGACCCTCACCTTGTGACTAAATTCGGGCACGCACCACGCGTCCAGGCGCCGGTTCATTCGCCTGTCTGTCCTGTAGTCTAGTCTTATGACTAATATGCACCACTATGCTAACATAGACCCACTCCTTACAGACTAAACAACACACCATGAAGGCACCCGTGCTACTCACAATCTCTATGTGTGGCCTTAGCCACGCCACCGACACTGTCGCACCCGATCTCGAGGAGCGGCTCTTTTTCACCACCGGCTCCAGCGGCACGAACGCATTGAGCAACGTCTCCATCGATGTGTTCTCGCTGGTGGTCGCTCTGACCAGCTTTTTAGTCATCCTGCTCTTCATTCCGCCCCTGTTGACCTTCTTGGCCGAGCTGTGGAGAAGGATTGCCGGAGGCGGCGGTGGCGGTTACGATAAACATGATACCACCGGTTACGCGTACGATTACGATTACGACGAGCATTACGCGCGTGGCAGGTGAGTCGATCTTCTCTCCATGGCGCTGGCAACGGCCGGGAGCGCGTGCACATCAGCCACCGACCACCACGCAGCAGACACCGCTCGGTACCTACCCGGGCGCGCCACATCCCTGTACATACAGCCCCGACATAGCGTCCGACTCAAGAGCTCTTCCTTTTCAGGCATCATGCACAAGCTGTTGATCTTCTCCTTCCTTTGCGCGGCGTGCGCGGCCGCGGCCGAGGTCACTGACTCGGCCATGGACGAGCTGGACCCGCGCTTCCTTTTCATCAACACCACCAACCTCGTCCCGCTGAGCTCGAGCGCTCTGCTGGCCGGCCTCGGCTCGCTGGTCATGCTCGTGCTATTCGGCCTGCTCATCTGGCTGGTCATCTCCCTCGTCATCCCAAAATTCGACGACGGCTATGACTCCTATGGCAGCTACGGAGGCTATTCGGGCTCCTCCCATTCCGGATATCAGGCCAGGTAAAAGACCTGTAAATACCCAGCAGCTGTACATAGCCTGCGCCTGAGTTGTTAACGACCAAAGCGTGAGCAGCAAACCTGCGCGCTGCGCCGCGAGCTTGTCTCACGACCGCAGGCAGCGGTGTCGATCGGTCTCCCGCGGCACGAGCCGGTGGGACGCCATGTCCGGCTGCTGTACAGACGTGCTGTGACGGCCTTGCAGAAGAGTTGGCCCGGCTCGCAGCCGCTCCTGAGGCGCGAGCGGCGGTCTCCTGCCGGCCCTCAGCCCAGTCGGGAGGCGCTCGGCCGCTCCCTCTGCTGTACATACGCGCCCGCGCCCGCCGGCAGACCAACCCGGGGCGGCCTCGACGCCGTCCTGGGCACGGACCTGAGGCTGGCTGTGAGCCCTGCCAGTGACGCCACCGAGGCTCAGCCAGAGGCCACCTCGTCTGACTCTGGTCCCCGTGACGGTCATCAGCGACGCCCAGGGCCCCTGCAGATGGCCCCCAGCGACGCCCAGGGCCCCTGCAGATGGCCCCCGCTCCCCTCCTCACTGACAGCCCGTGCAAATAGTCCCTGCGCCACTCCAGCTGTCTGGCAGGATGGCATGTCTGCTGATTACCTTGAGTCCTTCCGCGTGCATCTCCCTCACTTCACCCAGCCACACGCAGTCGGCAGCCGCTGGATGCATCCCTCATCTTCCCAGTAAAATCAAGCACTTGTTTCCATCTGCTTTGAGAAACACTGTACATATATGCATTCAGACGCTATTAAACGTGTCAGTCCTGCTGAGCTGACATGCAGGTATTGTATTATATTCTTCGGTGGCGGGATTTAAAGTAGTTAGTCGTGCATGCCTGTATTATAGAAATGCATTTTCATGCGCGTTTGTCTGTATGTATGTACTTGGGCTAGCGGAATCAATACTCACTGTTGGAGAATGTCATTAATCAACATCTGTAGTTGTCTGCACTATTATTTTCATTGTTGCATACAAGTAATGTCTTTCTTCTGCCTGGTCCTATGCCTGTGACAATTTTTGTTGTGACGCACTGCGTCTGACTGCACCGTTTTCCTATTGGTTACATGTTTGACATCACAGCCTGCTCTGCATCGGCTGAAAGACGTGTGGTGCTTGCTTCTGACGTGACTTGCGTGCCTGCCACACGCGTTAACGTAACGTCTCGGCGCCCTCGTCGCGACACCGTCTGACGTGAGGGTTCAAACGCAGGTCTGCTGACCCGTACTCCGCTATCTGGGACAACCTCTCCGTGCTGGACTGGATCGCCATGATGGAGGAGGTGAGTGCCGCTGCAGCTTGTGCTGCCGACCCGTTCCGCCGGTCCGACGGACTGCCGCACTGCACTGTCAATGCCAAGGCTGCAAAGGCGGCCGAACCGCCTGTCAAGCCGGCCGGGTCGCCCGTCGCGAGCGGGCAGCCGCGCCTCCGCCGCCGCCGCTGACGCCGCCTGTTCCGCCCGCAGCTGTACCGGAAGTTCGACGCTACCAAGATGGAGTGCCAGCAGCGGCTGGTGTGCGAGCTGCACCAGAACGAGAACACCTGGGGCACCACCGCCCGCAAGATGAACGACGCCTTCGGGTGAGTGGCCGGCCGGCCCGCCGGCGCTGCTGTGACCCGCGTCCCCATTCACAACCAATCTGGTGTGCCACTTGGGCGGTGATACCACGCCGCCCCGCCCCGTCGCCCGTCCGCACGCGTCGCGGGCCGGCGGGCCGCTGGCGGCGCGGTGCCGGTGGGCCGGGCCGCCGGTGAGCCCTTCCAGGCGTCCCCGGCGGCCCCTGCGGCCCGGCCAGGCGTCCTCGGCGGCCCCTGCACCCCTGCCGGGTGGGTGGTGGGCGTGACAGCTGGGCCGGCGGCAGTAATCACCGGCGCGGACCGCTTTCTCGGGCGGCGGCTGGTCCACTTTGGCCGTGTGTGTTACATCAGGCGCTCGGCCCAAGTATGTCGCGCCCGCGGCGCTGGCGGGCGGTGGGCTCCCGCACCGTTAGCTGACCGGGTGGCTGACGGCGGCGCTTCGGTCCGCAGGTACCTGCAGTACCTGGAGCTGCTCAACCTGCCCGCCGACCTGCGCACCGTGCTCGACCAGTACCTGGAGGCGGCCAACAAGGGCAGGACCAGCCAGAAGAGCTGCGAGGACATGTACGCCGGCTGCGAGTTCAGCATGAAGACCCTCATCAACAAGTACAACGGCTCTAACAGCATCTGAACACCCCCGGCCGACCGGCGACAGCTGACCAGTCCGTTGTTAACTTATTGATAGTTATTTATTGACGCGCTTGACGTGTGCGACGCCAGTGACGAAGGCCAAACGAGACGACAAAGACATTGTTACGTGTGTGGCAGGAGCCGGGAGCCGGCAGGAGCCAGTGTACATACGACATGCGACGAACGACAGAGCCTAGTCCAACATTCAAACTCTTCATCCCGGTCCGGCGGGAGGGCCGCTTAGCACTCCTGGTAGTCGCGCCGCGCTGCGTTCATGCATTCGTTACCAATAGTATATCAGCTAGCCGCTAGTTCCTGACGCACGACATGACCTGACGAGACCCGACGCGACTTGACGGAGTGGGCCGGCCGAGATCGGCGACACATGGACCGATGACGTCATAGCGCAACGACTCTTTGTTTTCCATGCTCGCCGAACGGCAGTAACGCTAGACTGTGCCTTAGTTTGCTGACGATACTTGTTGACTTGCGCATGCCTCCGACAGGGATTGTTATTGTTGCCTGTTGTTTCTGCATACGTGACGCCCCCGATGTTGTTGTGTTATTTATTGCTGCTCCAATTGACGACGACTGACGTGTTCATACGCAATGTGACGCGAAGAATGACAATAAAATTCCCCTCATGTACGCCCAAACAGCCTCTCAATGGTTAAAGCGATAGAACGGGTCGAGGCAGTCGGAGGAGAGCCCAGGTGGCCACGCGCACCTGGGCAGACGCACGCGTTAAGGGGGAACCCTGACGCAACACCGGTTTCTCTTGGAGCCTTGCCTCACCATCCATCTGACGGGATGGTCGACCATCATCTCACTCTGAGAGGAATTCTAACCTAGATTCAGTCGTTTCACCAGCGTTGCCAGGCAGTTTGATCCGGGTTTGGGTTCCGGGTTTCTCCTGTCAGCCGACGCAGCCGACTTTCGCCCGAGATGGGATCTGGCGCGACGGGGGCGGCCCCAGGCGGCTGGTGGGTCCTGCCATCTGCCGGCTGTCGCCGTAAGCCGCGGCTGACTAGCCCTGATTTAATAATTCGGGAATTTCTGCCGCCGGCTGGACGCGACCGATTTCTATTCTTCATCGTCGTCCACCAGCATACCGGAGAAATATTGACCTAATAAGGCGCGAGCGAACGGTGGCAGGTGCGGTGTGTTGGAGTCAGCGACGCGATACCATCCGGCGCACGACGCTATCGGCTGATCCGGCCCGAACAAAAACCGCTTTTCACTGGGGCCGCGTCGCGACTGCCGTCTCCGACGACGCTGGATTTCTCGGCGACGACTGTCAGTAATGAGCCGGCAGGCTCTCAGACCATTAGATGAGCCAATCCGTGGAAAATGTGAAACTGTGCCGGCGGCCGGCCGCGTGAGCGATGCCGCGCCGCCCGTCTGGGAGGAGATATTGACCGCAGCCGCCATCCGCGCCGCGTGTGAGCGATGGGCGGCGGCGGTGCGCCGCCTGCCGTCTGCTCCAATGCCCCCGGGCGTCGGCCGCCTCGCCCCGTTCGCACGGCGGCGATCAGCCGGGCCGGCGCCGCGCCGCCACGTGTCGCCTTGCCGCGCGCGGAGAAGCGGTGGAACCTGCACCGCACATCTGATTTACCGTGTCTGGTCGAAAACACGGGTTATTCTCTGATTCGCTGATTCTTTGCCGAGGATTTTAGCAAACTGACCAATGAGTATCAAACAACTGTCTCACTGTTGCCTTCAAATGACGGCTATATGAACACACCGCAGAGGGACCGAGGGGTGTGCTGAGGTAAGATTAAGGGGCGTACAGAGGGCCGCGCTGCCGTTCAGTTTTTGACGTCTTGAGGACGCAAAAGCTATGTGATTTATGGAGACCCTTTCCAACATACCAGCAGTGGAGGTCCATGACAGTGCAAGACGTTCCGTTTCTGCGTAGACAATGTCGAAGACAACACTCTTTAGCGTTGTCTGCGAGCTGTGATCATGTGGCCGGCCGAAAGTGGGAGAAAAACTGTTTGAATTTCAGCAGGTAAGCCATTTGATGATACAACAATTCTATATCAGCACGCTTCACAGCACTGAGATTGACCACTGCGTTGCTGGATGGATATGGTCAGAAAATGGGATTCGTCTCTCTTCAGAGTCGTGGTTTCATTCATCCTTAACAGACACATGTTTGCCCTTTCCAACGTATATGGGCATGTGAACAGGATTGCTCTGTTCATGCAAAATCATACAACACAATTTTGCATTTCCCAACCAAAAATCCAGGGAAGAGTCCAGGATTTAACAAGAGGTAGGTCTCCAACTTTCCGAAACTCTAAAACAGGAGTGACCTTGCAAGGTTGGTTGGCCCTTATTCCAAACGCCGTCATGGTCTCGAATTTTAAAGAGATATATACAAAAGAGATAATGGCAAACGATGAAATTTCATGCATAGTGTTGCCCGCTGTTTCACCTCCATCGGCTGTGTCACGTTGCGGGCGGCTCAAATGTGCTTGGGACGATGATCAATTTTGTGGCATCCATAAATTCAGTCGATTTGACCTTTTGCGTCACATAAGGCACATGTGCAATGTGCCCTATCTTTGTTTTATATGTGCACTGGAGTCTACTGAATGGGTGCGCCCGGGAAAACGTCCCCAGTCCTTGCCAGACTTGGCGTCTTGATTTTCATGTAAATGATTGTCAGCAATGACAAAATCAAAATCACTCTGATGAACATATAGTTTGCACAGTTGTGATGGTGCTATAAGCCATGCAGAAAGTTTCGTGCACCAGCGGCACAATTCAATGTTTTCAGTGAATTGTTTTTAGTTGCGCCTCTGCACCCTCACGCCTCTGTGAAATTCTGGAAACCCCCCAATATAGTGAATCATTGCTATAAAAGCAGGCATGCTTTTTGCAACGTTTACCTTTGTCCAACAAGCAAGGTATTTTCGTGTACTTTGTATGTATGGAAAAAAACCAAGAGCTTTTCAGACAGCAATCTTCACTGATAATCACTGGTGTTGAGTTGTATTCTTTCGTGAGGGCCCTGCCTCCTATGTGGCGTTGGCTCACACTCAAAATCAAACTGCCCCCCCCCCCCCCCAGCAATGTTGAGCTGGGCTCCCAATGTTTTGGCTGGAATATTACAAAAACGTAGGCAAGTGTTGACCATTGCACAAAGACGAGCACTTTCGATCCTCACTCGTAGTGGCGTCACCATGGAGGATGCAGCTGGGTAACTTGAACTCGCAACCTCAATAAAGTGTTCTCAATTGAGAGACAACTATAGGCAATGGGGTGAACCATTTTATTATTTGAATGTTTTTTATTTTGTTCGTTGAATGCAAGCCCGGACGCTTTTTACGCGACTTAACATGATATTGACGCCACTACTTCTCCGGTCTCGTGGAGACTCTTTTATTCCAAGCAGTGTTTGATCTTCAAAGTCGGATAACAGAATGTTCTTTATTAGAGGGGTATCGTTGCGTAGATTACAAGGTAAGATACAGTATAAGGCCAGCTACAAAATGAGAAATAGCAAAGACGAAACCAATTTTGCCGGGTCGGATTTTTAATCCGATTCCGTTCTGAAAATGGCTTATTGCTAGCACTAGCTAGCACTCCACTAGCTAGCACTAGCACTAGCACTCTGAATCTACCATCCCCTTACTGTGATACGTCATAAACAGATCCATTCTGTCTCAGTCCCTTTCAAAATATCACCAAAGGACCTGTATCGTGTCACGCGGCTCCACGACCTCAGCCGCCCTGTAACCTGGCAGATACTATCAAGCCAACGGCCCTCGTTGACGAGCCATGTATGAACACTTAGTCTGTAAGGCGAAGCTACGACTACGCGTTTGTTCATGTCACGAATATGGTCAGTAGCATGCACGTGGCGGTCCTATTAATAACCTGCATTTTCCACGCCACAGTTACAACCAGGGGTGGATCTAGCCTTTTTTGGAGGCAACCGTTCTTCTAGAATGTCATTTAAAGTGGCTCTCACACCCATACCCAGACATCTTATATATATATATATATATATATATATATATATATATATATATATATATATATATATATAGGGCTGTGCGTGCGAGCAGAGCAATCTGTGACCTGTAGGCTGGGTGATGAAGTTAAGAGTCATTTCTCAAAATGTCAATATGGTAACGGGTCAACAATCCGCCAGCAATGAGCTTCTCATGTTAGACCCGCAACCGTCGCAAGCTGCGGGTGCGCGTTGACTGTTGACGCAGCTGTCTGCCTCAACAGTAGCAAACCAGAAATCTACGCAATTAATTGCTGGGATTTTGGCATAGCAGACACGTAAAAGCGCACGTCCAGCCGTTTGGGGGCAGGGGCGAATCATGGTTTCATGATCTTTGCGGGAAAGGCATGGCCCCTTTGGTCTCCTGGATTTGCCCTTGGTTCACCCTTTCCGTTGTGTTTATAACGCATCTTTGCACATTCAATTGCAGCAGTTTCCCTTTAACCTCACTCTCACACAGCTTTTGGTCAACGTGAATAGTTCGTTATGAGCTGTTAAACACCGTTGAGTATTGCTGAGTATTGTTGATTATGATTACGTTGCTGATTACAATTGTTGATGTCTGTTGGGAGTTGGGATGTACAAAATATTAAGGACACCGCGAATGTGAATCGAAGTGGATCAACAATCTGTGTTAGCTTGGCCAAGTCATGTTTGTCTGGAATTGTTCAACATTCAAGCGGCATTAATAAGTGATGCAAATTAGGCAGCGTAGTTTTGAGCACGCGTGTTCGCAAATGTTAGCAACAAAGCCTTGGTGCCACGTGTTGTAGTCTCAGTAAGCTGCGCAGCGTCGGCCCTGCGGCTATCACTAAGCCGTGGCCAACGGGTGGACGAAAATGATGACGCATCTGAGAGCAGTACCTTTGAACGCGTTATGCCACCAAGTCGCACATATAGGATGCAGTTGGGGTGTATTTTTCATCTTTTCCATTTTTGAATTTATGATAATAACGGATGGTCCAGCACCGCAAAAGTGTGCTAAAATCTGGTGTTGGAACTGTAAGAGTTAAGGTAGAATCTCTATTTTCGTGGTTTTGTTACTGTTAACCTGTCTAGAGGACACATTAAGGTTGTTAAAAGGTGCGCCCAGTCTCATCTTTGAACAGAGAAATTTGATTTGGAAATGCATTCAGTGCCATTATATTACGGCGGTTGTGTGTACGGCGGTTGTTGTGTGCGCGTGCACGACATTCGCCGCCTGCTATTACTTTCAGTGGCCAAGGCAGTTCAGTTTTTCGGAAGCTACAATCCAGGCCATCACTGTCACTGCTCCTGAGAGTGGGGGCGCGCAGGCTTAAACCTTTTGATGTCACTTGTGTCACTAGTCGATTTTACCAAAGGATAAATGTTCTCCGACAAACGTGGGATGCACTTGTTCGTTTTTAAACTCATTTCGACCCACTCTATTCAACAGAGACCACTTTTTTCTTTCCGGGAAAGGGCCCCGTCGAGTAGAACGCTAGGAGGGGGGGGGGGGGGGGGCGGAGCACATTATTGTTCCCGTTCGAGGGCTGAAAGGCCATTCCGTCCTACCGCGGGTGTCTTCCGGCTGTCATTCTGGGCGAAGCGAGATCCCCTGGTCAATCCAGAGGCACGTAGAGAGATACATCATATCACATAAGTCCCTTC